GATATGGTACTTGCAACATGGTCATATTATACTTTTCCACAATTTCTATCGCCGTGCACAAGTCAGAAGTTTCAATATTACCATATTTTCCGTAGTATAGTCCACACGGCCCACCTAACTGAACTGTATTGTATATAAAGTAATGCAGGAAATATTTGTGCATGTCCATATTCTGGGCGTCCCAAGCTAAGCGGATACCTGGCAATGATACGGTCACAAGTTTTTTGTAGCTGATTTGTTTGCAAGTCAGACATGGTATGGACAGGGGTAAGTTGAGACTCTTCTCAAACAAGACCAGTTTCGCAGTTCCAATCAACCCAGCTGCCCGTCTAAAGCATACAGCATCGCGATGACGAACGATTTGACCAAATATATAATCCTGTCGGAAATCGTTACTAGCTATGGCAATCAGGATTTCACACTTCAGCCACCATTTGTCAAACCGTATCGTCCCATCTAGCTGAATGAAGATTGCTTGAGGTCGTGTCAATTCTTCCGTGAAGTGAAACCGCATCATTTTGCGTTGAATACTTTTCGCAGGGTTGTGCATTCTATCTGGCATGCTACAACGGACAAACTCTCGTAAGGGTGTGTAGGCGTTGACAACCCTGACTGCATCAAAATAAGAAAAATCAACGTCCACATGGAAAACCTTGCCACACTCTGGAGAGAATATAAAAGTTAGATCAGCATTTTGAAAAACATTGCGCCAAATATTTGATGCCTTTGAGAAATCATAGCATATGGCAAATTCTGCAATGGCGATAACCAACCAGTAGCGAAGCATTACTAATTTTTGCGGATTTAAGATTTCAATTTAAACATATTGAGACTCGTTAGATTTTTCAAGTTAAATATGGATGTTTTTCATGTCCTAATGTTAAACAAGTATTCACTGAACGGGAAATTATTATCGTGTGTTATAGTTTTTAAATCTTTCTCATATAACACCAAGGTAGATACCAATATGTTCAATGTGTATTAATCGTACTAACTAGTAGTAATACTTATTTCCACATAAAAGTATTGTAAAACAGCCGTTAAAGAAGAATCAAAGTCTTCGGGGTTTCTTATTTCCTAGTAACTTGGTGAAGATGGTGGTTGTCTTACAGAGCTTGATTTTTTATTATAGGCAGTCAGTTTACCTTAATTTTGTGGACGAAGTTTACGTCGGTGAATGTTTTTGGTGTTTTTAACGTGTTCCCCATCCTTTGTTGATAAGGAAAGAAGTAGAAAATAGTTTTCAATTTTTGGAAACTATAAGCACATTTCATTTTCACTTTTGTCCCCTCGAAAAAAAAACTTTACAAAATGATTAAGTTAAATTTTTACACATATCTATGGAACAAATTACGTTATTCCCAGGTAGGTGGAAGAACAACCTACTTAGAGAACCAGTTAATTTCACAAGACCTAAACCTGTATTTGTCTGTAATTATCTTTAATGCTCTATACCCTTTGGTCGGGCATTCTCTATTTATGATAATTAAACTCCACCACATAACGTACTAATATAAATTTATCACGAATCGGTATGTATTTCGTTTAGACGATGAAATCTTATTACGACTATTAATTTCAATGTACACTTTAAGCATTCGGTAATTAATTTGCGACTCACAATGCGAGGTCCCCAACGGTCCCCCACCGATTTCAATGAAACCGGTCTTATTTGATAGACCAACTAATACGAATAGAAGTTGCCATAAGTACCCAGCATTAGTACTGGAGATACAGCGTGTCAAATGTCACAAAATTGAACGGCCGCCGAAGCGAGAGAGGGCCAGCCAACTCCGCTCGCTCACCCCAATTCCTCGCTTGTGCATACAATCTCGCTGAAGATTTCGTTCTTATTTATTTTTACGAAATTCCGGATTTTGACTATTTTTTAATATTTTATGGATTTGTTAAATTCTCTGTTCACGTTTAGCAAGATTTATTTTTCGCAATAAATAAATTTGTAATCATTAGATTAGAAATTTATTTAGAAAAAATTATTTTAGAAAATTTTAAAAATTTAAAAATAATTAATAATAATAATAATAATAATAATAATAATAGTAATAATTTAAAAAATTTTATTTAAAAAATTTATTTTGAAAAATAAAATTTGTTAAACGTGAACTGAGAAATTTACAAATCCACAAAAAATAAAAAATAATTAAAATCCTGAATTGCATGAAAATAAATAAGAACGAAATTTTCAGCGAGATTCGATGCAAAAGCGGGGAATTGGGGTGAGCGAGCGGAGTTCGCTGACCCTCTCGCTTCGGCCGCCGTGCAATTTTGTGACCTTTGACACGCTGTATCTCCAATACTTCTGTGCATTCAAAACAGGTCCCTTATGGGAACTCCTATTCATATTAGTTTATCTAAAGTATGAGTCCTATTGAACCGGACAAACCGAAAATGCCTGTAAAAAATAACCAGTGGTTATATTTTGACGAAAATTTGTGTCATAAGTCTTCATATACTCCACAAGACCCCTTAAGTCTCCAAAGGTCCATAAACTTCTCCCCTTCCAATCCGGAGCAACTTTTATCTGGCCGACGCCAAGAGTGCCCTGCCACTCGTTTTGGGCACTTTCATCGAGATGTTTGACCAGATCTGACGAAATGGAATTAAATTTTTTGCAGGATATCTTCGCTTACAGTATTCTTCTTTACACAAACTTCAAAATCTTTCAATTGATCCGGCCTGCGACAAGTTTGGGGCGTTATTCTGTTTCTTGAAAAAATCAATTTTTTCAGCTCCCAGATACTCGGCCACTTTGCATACATTATGACATGTTACCATATACGGCCAAAAAAGTGCATCATGTTTTTTGATGAAGGGGATTAACTTCTCTCCCAAACATTCTTTTAAGCATCGATCAGAGCTCATTGTACCTTTTTTGACCATACGTTTTGAAACATTCCCCAATGAGTCGACATCCTACCTCACTATGTGTTGTTGACGATATTTTCCGTTTGGCTGAACTTATAATTAGTTAGGACTGATTTTTTGCTAGTCCCTGAGTAAAACATTAATTCTGAAAAGTCTTTTTGGTTGGCCGGACAATATATCTCGTCATCCATGACGAGAATCCTGGAGGATGGTGGGTCGAGTCGTTTTTGATTTAGCTTGTGACAGTGGTTTTCGACCATTTTTCTTGATTTTCATTGAATTTTGATGCAGTTTTTGTCTTAATTAATCAAATCCCCGGTTTCCTGGAATTAATTCTGTGTAAAGATGATTGTGATGTTCCAAGCCCTTGTACAGAATTTCGCTCAGATATGGCCGAACTCTTGTTTCCTTCGAACCTACATTCGAACCTCGAACCTACATTTTCTCCACTTTCTTGATGACTTTATGTGTTGCTACGCCAGTAGGTCGACCTTTTATTTTTTTAAATTCAGTACTATCGGTTACTTCAAATCAAATTATAATACAAAAAATCATTGAATTTGAAATTCTTCCAGTTTTGAAATTTCTGTAGGTCAACTCCCGATCACGCGCAGTCACTTTTTCGTGGTAGTGGCAGGCACGTTTCGCGAGTTCCTCGGGTCTTTTTGACCTCATTTTTTTAATTTTAAAGATAATTAACTTTGGTTTTCAGATTTGAGATACTAGTTAAATTTCCCATAGTAGCTGTGGTAAAATTATTCGTATCGCTCATTATTTTAGTTTGGACAATACTTTGCATTTTATCCGGTTCATTAGGACTCATGCTTTATCAAATAAGATGAGTTTCGTTGAAATCGGTGGGGGACCGTGGGGGACCTCGCATTGTCAGTTTGTCTTTCTAGCATTAAAAACTCGCGGAATCTGGCGGAAATAAGAAATAAATATCGGCATCGAGAAACACATTGCCCAATATATTCCAACCCTTGGCGAAATCTGAACATTATGCGTATGCTTCCAACACGAGGACCAACTACCTGCGGGAGAACATTTCGAATTTCCAGAGATTGGTGAACTGAAATTAAATTAAATTTGCGATACAGAATAAAAAATTAAGTCTAAGCTTTTTTACCAAATTCTTGTATCACAGATCTTTTATTCGTTCGGTTCTATAAAGCGAATCTAAAACGAGTTGTAGAATTTCCGTGAATTTATATACTATGATGTTGCCTTAAGTATGATGGTCATTATTCTAATATATTCGCAGAAAAGGATCAATTAATTTCGCAATTGCTGCGAATAGATCAATTTTTGTTTGTTATTAGTATGGCCCATTCCAAGGAATTTGATATTTTAAATGCTTATTACCACCATTGCTCGGTCGTCGTTGTCACGTAGGCAGCTGCCTACGTGGATATGGTAGGCTAGTTATCCTATTTCTGAATTTTATTATTAAAATTATTTTATTATTAATGTATTGTACAATGAGAAATTCTCATTATGTGTTTATGTATTTCTCATTATGGATTTATACGCAATTGCTACTCTTCTTAGAAGTAGCATGACCAAATAAATTGGAAACTGGTTGCATAGAATTTAAGAATCCTGCAACGGCACAGCATGATTAAGCACAATTTTAGCCTTAAAGTTGTAATTCCAATTTTTTCAAGAAATCCTGGATACGTGCAATGACATTCTCTACAAAATATTATCTCATATTTTTTGTGGTATGGCAAATCTTTGCGTCTTCCAGATTTGGTTTCGTTGAAAAGCTGCATATACGTGTAGGATAAATATATTTATTAATTTAAATACATAACTTGAATAATTACAAATATGCACACTGACTACGGATCCATTCATGAAATGCTTACAAATATTGTTTCAAATCGTTAAAAGAGGTCATTAGCATTGACATGACGGGATTGCTTATTTTTACGGCATCATCACTACAACTTATAAAACAGGCGAGAGAGTCTCTGGTCCGAAGCCGATCTTAGTGCATGTGCACTGAGCAACCACCACCACCCAGTCCCAGTCCCACCGCCAGTCCCACCGCCAGTCCCACCGCCAGTCCCAGTCCCACCGCCAGTCCCACCGCCAGTCCCAGTCCCACCGCCAGTCCCACCGCCAGTCCCACCGCCAGTCCCAGTCCCACCGCCAGTCCCACCGCCAGACTGGGACTGGACTGCATATGGAGACTGGCTATTGAGAGTGCAGACTGGAGACAAATAAAAATACACAAAGAAATAAAATAAATTAACCAATTTTTCCTGGGAAAATTTACATCCTTTCGAAGAAATTGCATCCTTTCGAGGAAAATTTACATCCTTTCGAGGAAATTGCATCCTTTCGAGGAAAATTTACATCCTTTCGAGGAAATTGCAACCTTTCGAGGAAAATTTACATCCTTTCGAGGAAATTGCAACCTTTCGAGGAAAATTTACATCCTTTCGAGGAAATTGCAACCTTTCGAGGAATTTGCAACCTTTCGAGGAAAATTTACATCCTTTCGAGGAAATTGCAACCTTTCGAGGAATTTGCAACCTTTCGAGGAAAATTTACATCCTTTCGAAGAAATTGCAACCTTTCGAGGAAAATTTACATCCTTTCGAGGAATTTGCAACCTTTCGAGGAAAATTTACATCCTTTCGAGGAAATTGCAACCTTTCGAGGAATTTGCAACCTTTCGAGGAAAATTTACATCCTTTCGAGGAAATTGCAACCTTTCGAGGAATTTGCAACCTTTCGAGGAAAATTTACATCCTTTCGAGGAAATTGCAACCTTTCGAGGAAAATTTACATCCTTTCGAGGAAATTGCAACCTTTCGAAGAATTTGCAACCTTTCGAGGAAAATTTACATCCTTTCGAGGAATTTGCAACCTTTCGAGGAAAATTTACATCCTTTCGAGGAAATTGCAACCTTTCGAAGAATTTGCAACCTTTCGAGGAAATTTACATGCTTTCGAGGAACTTTCGAGGAAAATTTACTTCCTTTCAAGGAATTTGCATCCTTTCGAGTAATTTGAATCATTTTGAGGAAATTTGCATTTTTAGTTGGTATCATATATTATATTGTATGTATTGTATGTATGTATGTATGTACGTATGTACGTATGTATGTATGTACGTATGTATGTATGTATGTATTGTAAGAAGTAAATGGTAAATTATTTTATTTAGTTTTAAATTATCTGTGATTCCACAACGTGGCCGTTGTGGACTCAAAATCTGTTTATACGTTTAGTACTTGGCTATCCAAATTTTAAAGTAAAAATGGGCCCAAAAAGACAACAAACCGACGAAGAGCGGAATTTGCAGCAGGTCGAAGCAAAGAGACGTCGTGCTGAGGCGCAGCGTTTACGGCGAGCAAATTTGACTGATGAGCAAAGAAATCAGCATAGAGAACAAAATTCTCAAACAAAACGTAATCGTATTGCAAATATGTCAGATGAGGAAAGAAATCTGCATAGAAAACAAAATGCTCAATCAGAACGAAATCGAGTTGCAAATATGTCAGATGAGCAAAGACGCCAACGCCGAGAAAATGATGCACAAAATACAAGGAATACGCGGCAAAATATGACAGCTGAGCAGACAAGTTTATATCAAAATGTTCATAATATGCGGTTAAGTACCTCACGAACAAGAGTGCGACAACGGAGTTTAGCTGCAACAATAGCAACAGCACTAACTGATAATTTTGATGAGACTACTATTCCACTACATTCATGTGGGCAATTAAACTCAGTTTGTCAGTTCTGCCAAGCTAAGCATTTTGCAAGCGAACGACCAACAGATGGATATTTCAATATCTGTTGTAATAAAGGCAAAGTATTTCTTACACAAATACGTCAATCTGAATTTTTAAAAGACTTGCTAACAAATAATCATGAACATTCGAAAAACTTTATGGAAAATATTCGATCATTTAATAGTTCACTGGCATTCGCATCTATGGGAGCAAACATAGCTCCGCCACCTGGATATGGGCCATATGCTTTCAGGATTCATGGCCAAATTTACCACCGTGCTGGTGCATTAAATCCATGCAATGGAGGACAAAGAAAATTTGCACAGTTATACATTTTGGATCCATATGAGGCCAGTGAACAAAGATTAAGAATGTCTGAAAATTCAAAATGCAACCCTGATCTTATGAATGAACTTAGCCAATTTATGACTCAACAAAATCCATTTGCGGATGCATGCAAAATGCTGCATGAAGTTGAACAAGAAAGCATTGCAGATGCTCAATTACATGGTGTTGAACCTTCAACTGTTTCCATGGCAATAATTCAAGATCGCAATTCTGACTTAAGGCGCTATAACGCTCCTCGCACAAATGAGGTAGCCGTTATTTTTCAAAATGGAAATGGGGATCCGCCATTAGAAAGAGATTTAATTATCCATTGTAGGGTTACTGCCGACAATCCAGACCAACGAGCCTGTCAAAGGATAAATATCTTGGATCCTAATTTGGAACCAATGACTTATCCATTACTGTTTCCATATGGAGACCAAAGCTGGGGACTTAACATTCGTCTCCAAGATAGACCAGGTGTCTTGCGAAATAGACCTCAATCAGCTAACCCAAGGCAAAATGTTACTCAAATGCAGTTTTATGCATATCGATTTGCCATTAGAGATGCATTTAACCCTTTCTTAAGTGCTGGAAAACTTACTCAGCAATACATAGTTGATGCATATGTAAAGACTGAAGCAAATCGTCTTAACTACCTAAGACAGAACCAGAAAGCACTCATGGCCGAAAGTTATCAAGGTCTTATTGATCACATTGGTTCAGTTGCTGAGCAGCAAGGACTAAATCCTGGGAAACCTGTGATCCTTCCATCTTCTTGTCAAGGAAGTCCCAGGAATATGACTCAGAATTATTTAGATGCAATGGCAATAGTTAGAGAATATGGTACTCCTGATTTGTTTATAACAATGACGTGTAATCCCAAATGGAATGAAATAACTGAAAATCTGGGGCCTGGCCAAAGTGCTGAGTTTAGACCAGACTTGGTTGCCCGTGTTTTTAAAATTAAACTGAAAGAACTTTTGTCAGATATTTGTGATAAACATGTCTTAGGAATCCCTATTGCCCATGTGCATGTGATTGAATTTCAAAAAAGAGGCTTGCCTCATGCCCACATGTTGATAATTTTGAAAAAAGAGTTCAAACCTTCTGATTGTGATAAAATCGATAAATTAGTTTGTGCCGAAATTCCAAATATTGAGACTAATCCACGTCTTCATGAAATTGTTACCAAGCACATGATTCATGGACCGTGTGGAGTACACAATTTGAATTCTCCTTGCATGGACTCATTAACAAACGAATGTACAAAAAAATTTCCAAAGGCATTTCAAAATGCAACTGTCATCGAAGGAAACAAAGGTTATCCTTTGTACCGTAGAAGAAATAACGGCATATCCGTTATGATAAAAAATAAAAGAATTGACAATCGATGGATTGTACCATACAATCCATCGCTATCTTTAAAGTACAATTGCCATCTAAATGTCGAAGTATGCGCATCAATAAAGAGCGTGAAATATCTTTTTAAATATGTCTATAAAGGTCATGACTGTGCCAACGTCACCATACGTGAAGAAACCACTCTTCACCATTATGAAATACAAACCTACATGGACTCAAGATATGTTAGCGCCCCTGAGGGAGCTTGGCGACTTTTTGGCTTTGAAATGCACAAACAGTCACATACCATTATTAGACTTGCTGTGCATCTTCCTGGTAATCAAAGTATAGTATTTAATCCAAACGATGTTGCCCAAGCTGTTGCTAATAATGAACATCGCCATACTACCTTTACTGCATGGTTTGCTTTAAATAGTACTTTACCAAGTGATGAGCATTGTTTATATGCCGATACCCCAAAAAAATATTGGTTTCCTCCGAATTTGCGAGTCTGGCAAAAACGCAAGCAGGAAAAACGTGGGGAGAAAGTCATCGGACGTATGTATACAGTTAGTCTCCAAGATCATCCCGAAAGTTATTACTTGCGGCTTATGCTTTTGCATGTAAAGGGAGCAACATCTTTTGAAAATTTGCGTACTTTTAATGGTGTTCGTTGTGACACTTTTCTTGAAGCATCCAAAAGAATGGGGTTATTGTCAAATGACGAGACGTGGGACAACACCATGGCTGATGCTGTTATTAGCAGCATGCCCAGACAATTGCGTGAACTATTTGCCACAATTTGTGTATTTGCTTGCCCACCTAATATACTTCAGCTGTGGGATAAGTACAAAGAATATTTGATTGAAGACTATAGCCGTCACCCAAACCATGATGCAGATTGTATTCAATGTGAGAATCTCGCTTTACGGGATATACAAGATATTTTTATAATACATGGCAAAAGTTGTAATGAATTTGGTCTCAGAACTCCACCCACCAACATTCCCCGAAACATTGACGATTATTTTGATGTTGAAGCCGAAAGAGAACGTGGGGCTGAAATGTATGAGACCTTAAATGATGAACAAAAGGCAGCATTTAATACAATCATTGAATCTATAAATTGTAATATACCGCAATCTAGATGCTTTTTCTTGGACGGTCCCGGTGGGAGCGGAAAGACATACTTATACAAAACACTTTTAAGTACTGTACGAGGTATGGGAGAAGTTGCACTTCCTGTTGCATCAACTGGAATTGCAGCAAATTTGCTCAAAGGTGGAAGAACATACCATTCCCAGTTTAAATTAAAAGTGCCTTTGGATGAGACGTGCACATCCTCTATTAGACAGACTTCTTCTGAAGCTGAATTAATCCGAAGGGCAAAATTGATAATATGGGATGAGGCCACTATGGCACCAAGTATAGCCTTGGATGCAGTGGATAGATGCTTAAAGCATCTCATGGAAAACAATTTACCTTTTGGTGGTAAGGTTTTGTTACTTGGAGGTGATTTCCGACAAACCCTCCCTGTGGTTCCTCATGCATCTAGGGCCGCCATTGTTGAATCGAGTGTAAAATTCAATAAATATTGGGAGCACTTTAAAATTCTTAAGCTCCACAATAATGTTCGATCTGAAGATCCTGAATTTAGCAAGTGGCTAATTGATCTTGGTAATGGTAGTTTACCAACAACCGAAGTTTTGCCTGATGATGTCATTGAGATTCCAGAAAATATGATACGCACTGATTCAATTGTTGAAGAGATTTTTGGCAAGAAACTTACTGTGCAGGATGTGCACAAATTTTCTAAAATGGCAATCCTTTGTCCAAAAAATGTTGACGTTGACAAAATCAATGAAGATGTACTTGATATCCTCGAAGGAGAGAAAGTCACATATCTAAGTTCTGATTCGATTGTTGATGAAACTGATGTGGATAGACAAAATTATCCAATAGAGTTTTTACACGATCAAACTTCATCTGGCATGGCACCTCACAAGTTAAACCTAAAGATTGGTGCAATAGTTATGCTACTTCGCAATTTAAATACCAAACACGGCCTTTGTAACGGTACACGTTTAATTGTGAAGGAGCTTAAACCTAACCTTATAATTGCAGAGGTTTTGACAGGGCCTGCGCAGGGAAACATTGTTTTCATTCCTAGAATTGACTTAACACCTTCTAACCCAGATTTGCCATTTACTCTTAAGAGACGGCAATTTCCAATAAAATTGGCCTTTGCTATGACAATAAATAAATCACAAGGACAAACCTTGGATAAAGTCGGAGTTTACCTCCCTGATCCTGTTTTTAGTCATGGACAACTGTATGTAGCATTGTCTCGGGCAAAAAGATCATGCGATGTCAAGATGAAAATTGTTGATGGCCCTTTGCAAGGTAAACTAATACTTGGATCTGATAAAATTTACACGAAAAATGTATTCAAGGAAATCTATAATTTACAGTAAATTGATTTCTGGAGCTTGCGGTGGCTCTGACAAATGTACCGTCAGTACTTTCAAAAATGAGAAAGTCAGGGGGCAACACACGGAAGGGGGTCCACGTCCCTTGCCCTGGGTGGATAAGTAATTCATGGTATATTAATGTACATGTTTTATCCAGCGAACGCTTCCGTACCTAAAGTTTTAACATTTTCTGCAATTGAAAATTCGATATAACTTAATTTGCAGGGTAAATAAAAGTTTGCGCTTTCATCAACTTTCTCTTTTTTTCCCGTCGATTGACGGGCTTATATACTAGTTTAAAATATAACGAGGGCATAGAAACTGCATAAATTCTGCTTCTTCCCTTACCTATTGATGCATTGAAGTGATTATATTCACACAAAGTATTATTGCAAATTCCAAGCGATCTGAACCCCGAAATATTGCAGGTGCCGTTGATCATCCTACAATTCCTTGAAGAATGATTTCAACTCCGTAAAGGATAGTCTGTTTTTTGGATCAACACTCCAATAGTTTTGTAATTGCTTATATCAGGAAAATAATACAAATGTGTTTGAATGTCTACATATGTAATCAATTTCAATTTATCCAGTCAAATTTTAAAAATAAATCCAAAATTTTTAGCGCAATAAGTATTTTCAAGTCCCGACAAAGGTCAGACTTTTCGTGCATGTGAGGTACGGTTTTTTTATGAAATTCGAAAATTTTCTCTACAGTAGACCGATTGTGTTTAAATACTAGGTGATTTTGTGGTGCCCATGGCACCACATGAATTATTAAATAACTTCTACATTTGCCCAGATCTTTCCTTCCGTAAAGTATTTATCCTATACGCATCTGTTTAACCGTGTGTTGCAGCGACAGTTTCCTGGCTAGCTTGTAAGTGTTCGTTAATCTCTTTCCCTAGCTATGGCCAGATTCTGGGATGGCAGAAGATCTACCTTATGCTCTGGCTTATTAGTGAGCTTGCTCAGTCAGAAATGCGGCCGACGATCTGGGCTTGGACACTCTTACCCACCGGCAAAATTCTGCAATCATTGCTAACCAATGTTGCATTCACAGGCTACGTATAATGGACGTATTGTTTGAGCTCCCCCCTTTGCTTTTTCTTCGATGCAAAATAAGACATTGCAGGGATGCGTTCAGGACGGACAGATGGATTGACGGATAGAAAGGACTGGGTAAATATATAAGTTTATGTTTTTCAAGTATTTTCTACTGTTGATTTCTCCTGTCCAACCAATATAAAAAATATGCCTCTGTACTTCCAGAAGAAATTTTATGTAACATGCCTTACATTTTGGAATTTGCAAACTCCGGTTGATACGGGAATAGTTGCCCTGAGCGAAGTTGAGTAAGAAATTCATTGCCGTAGTGGATTCCTGGATACGGAACTGCTCCAGCAAAGAAATACTCCTACGCAGTTAATCCAAATGACCGGACGTCCGAACAAGAGAATTTCATTATCATTTCAATGTCTGTCAAACTTTCTATGGCTGCCCATTTCCAAGCCAAAGGTTCCTTTACAGTAGCACAACTTTATTTATGGATTTAAATAAATTGATAATAATTCTAAACTATGCCTGCTCACCTGGCTGTGTTTTGTGTAAGTCGGGCAAAGATAATTTTTTTTAGATAAGCCAAAGTCTGCAATTTTTGATGTTTTGTTAGGCGAGAGGAGAACATTTCGTGCCGCCACGTCGCAATGGATTATCTAGAGTAGAAAGCCAGCTGATAAATTAACCTCTATTTTATTTGAAATTCAAATGTCTACGAAATTTTACATTTTTGCTTGCAATGTACTCCATTCCCCGCGCTGTTTCGAACGTCCGTTGTATTAGGTCCTTAACCCGCAAGGGATCCTCAATTGTGCAGATGTACCCACTGACAAAATAAAAGACAGCACAGTTATAGCCCCCTAATAGCAAATTTTTTAAAATAAATGTGTGTTTGTACCTCCCCAGATCAGGAGTTTGTTGAAACTCATTCCTTAAATTGTGTCTGTTTACCCTTAAATATGAAAGGATACTTCCATACCGGCAATATTCTACTACGATGTGTAGCTTCCCTGAAAAACCAAGAACGTCACAACACAACAAATAAGTTATAAAAATGAACAACAATTATATTACGACCTACGTCCTCTAACTTCCGTAGTGCACGCCCCAATCAGGTTTACAAGGTTGCCATGGCTTCCTATATAGTGCAGCATCTGGAGTTCTATGAGCAGCGCCTTCAAATATACAATATCTGCCGTGGACGCTACAGTTTTTACAGCAACAACCTGACAATCCACGATGTTTTCTCCATATGATTTTTTTCCTGCCTCAGAGTAAAGTTCTACCTTGTAAACTACTCCAAATTCCCCGCTGCCTAGTGGTGTCGCCTGATCAATGTGTAACCGGGATAGGGGAATTTCGAAATTTCTCACGTACGGTTTAGCTACGGAAATTTTGCACAAATATTGTAACCACGACTAAACTAAACTAAATCGGAGTTCCTACAAAAATATTGCCCTTGCCCGAAAATAAGTTTGTCCCATTTGCCGTAGCATTCCCACCAAAGAATTCTTCCACTCTGCATCCGACAGGACGGCGAGAACTTTGTCGACTGCTCCATTTCCAGCCATTTCTTTAAGGAAATACCAAACAGTCCAGAACATGTAGGTTTTGACCAATACCCAAACAATGATAATTAAGAGTTTGGGCCAAAGGATGAGATAAAAGACCCAAAACGTCGCCAGTAAAGGAAGGAAGAGTGATACGGATAGAAGAAGCAACTGCGAAATTGTTTTTCTATCTCTCTACAGATACATATTTAGATACATATAGTTCCTTAATACATATGTAATGAAAACTATGTCTCAGCACACCCTTGTAGCAGCCTTGTACAATCGGACGGCAAGCGCGATAGAAATAACCTTGTACAAATTAAAGTACACCGCGATTACCACTTGGACTGCAAAGTATTTAAATAAAATTAATCTGTCTGTGGAATTAAATGGAATCTTGCTACATATTTATGTACCGTAAAACCATATGCGTCCATCCTTGTGAAAAGCGTTGACAAGAGTTTCCACATCTCTGAGAGTGGATACAAGTTCCACTACAATGAGGGCGAGTTGCACACCCTGATGAACACATTTCAGAATTTTAGATACTATTCAGTTACTTTGAGCTTATTGAAGTGGACAACTTTACCACTTCACCGACTGCAAGAGCCTTCACTGGCCCCTGTAAAAAGAAACCCATGCAAGGCACTTGTAAACGTTTTGTTGTAGGGATACCCATTTTTTTATTTTTTTCCAATCCTGTTAGCTAAGGGTTTAAGTAGCAGAGAAATGAGAGATTCAAATGATATTTTTTTTACATTAGAACCTGAATTTAAGTTTGTTCTACGGCGAAGTATGTAACTTCCTGCTGACAGATTGTATTACAATTTGATATCTACTTCCTACTAAACAAAGCACGTAGGAGATAACAGGTTCATCACCCTCGGTGAAGTAGTGATCTAGGTTTGTTATCTGCCAAGTTGTCACTCAACTTGTTCAACATTAAACGTACAGTGAGTCATCGCAAAGTTTTTATCTCCAATCTTGAGGGGACTAATTTGTTCACATCAAAAATTAAGCGGACCCGTATTTTTTCTCTTTCGATAATGCGCCCTGTTAGAGAGGAGCTATTTAAGCGCCTGGTGGAATATTCAAATAATTTTCAGCCGAATTTTCCAATTCAAATAATCAAAAACATGTATCAGAGCCAAATAGTTTTTGGGGTTTTTAAAAAGTTCAAATTTTGCCGAGTTTGGCTTTTTTTCAAAATTATTAAAATTCCAAAAACTTATAAAAATCCGGATTTTCGAAAGATTTTGAAAATAAGGGCAATTATTGAATACGGTTCAGTTCATTCCATCCCACCTTGATCTGTAATAACAAATTATCATTAATATTACACATCAAAATGTGAGAATTGTATGGAGATCACGAATATGAAGTCAGACTCTGGAAATATTAAGTTTTAAAGAAATTAGCATTTTTCAAAACTAAATATGAAACATTTATTATTCTACTTGCTAATGGGAAGAGAATAAATAAAAAATATTCTCTGCGGGCGACAAGTATAAATAATTAATTCAACCTCATCTCCATCAAGTATTGCGTGTTATCTAGCTTATTTTTTGTGATCCGCCTAGAACTCGTGTATAGTGAAAGATTTAGTAAAGCAAAATGCGTTCGATTTAGGGCTCTCCACGGGACGGAATGATAACGTACCGTCCCGCCGGGACGGGTCTTTCGGGACGGCACAGGATAGGATTTTTCGTCCCGATTGACTTCGGGACGGGTCGGTCTCGGGACGGGATAAATGACGTCCCTTCCCGGCTCGTCCCGACGCGGACGGGACTTCCCGAAAGTTCTATTTTACCCGGAAATATTTTTTTTGTATCCGGAATTTACAATAGTGGCAACGGGATTTTGGTGAAAAGATTATTTGGGACGGGACCGGACGGGATACGGGACGGTATAAAGATTTGTCCCGTCCCGTACCGATTATTCGTCCCGATAGAGATATCGGGACGGGACGGGATGACCAAATCCCGACTCGTCCCGTCCCGTGGAGAGCCCTAGTTCGATTTATGAAGAAGAAGAACATTAGCATATTAAAATCATGTTAGATAATCAATAAGATTGGGGTACCGCTGGCCTGTCTAACTTTCCTTATATAGTGTTTTTCATGGTTACTTTCCCAACACAATTCGGGATACATGAGATAAAATTCGAAGCAGATTAGTAATATTCCAGATTTCTAAATTTTTAATACACAGTAAACGTTGATTGAACGTTGGCTAAATACTAAACTGTAAGGAAAAGTAATTACATACACCGGAGTACCCCAAGCTGACAACAATGTACAGTTAATTTAAGATAAAATTTACAGAAATTTGATAGCATTATTTTTCAAGTTTTTTTTTGCAAATCTGGCTGCCATGTTGCGTCTAAACATACTTTTCACAGTGCTTATTACCATAGTCAAATGCAATACGAATTATGTCTCATTTTCTCAAGACCGTATAAGCCAACTACTAGAAAATATTACAAATTGCGACCTGCAAATCCTACACGACGGATCTGAGATTTCTAATCACAATATTCCTACAAAAGTTGTGTGGTTCCCTGAATATTCAAACATCACACTAGATTATCGATTTCTTGCAACAATTAATTCTTTAGAGTCCCGATTTGTACAAACGGAGAAACTGGTTTTTATCTTGGCAAATGTGTTTCTTAGATCTCACTCTGATTACTCCAGATTTAATCTAAACTATTGGATTTCAACAGCTATAACCCATCACACCTACCACGTTGACTACTCCGACGAAAGACCAACGAAGAGGCGTTTCTTCCAATATGGCAAAAATGTGTTTGTCGTACTTATTTCTATGATGACAAGCAAAGAGTTAAAAAATGTCCTCCCATTTTTTAAATTTCCAGAAATATCTTATACTTTCATCGTTGTCGTTTCGTATTTAAACGACAAAGCTAATCAGCTATGTGCTGTAACGCAACTTGTTATCGGTAACAGAGTCTATCAGGCAGATTGTCTTCAAATTCCTGAGTGGGACAAAAGAATACCAATCATTGCTAACTGGCCAGGCAAATGGTGCCTGGTAACACCATTGTCCACGGTAAATGTTGAAAAACAATACTTTATGTCCGCCAAAGTTCTAAACCCATTCAATCGTTCAGATATTTACACGATGGGCGAATGGGTTCAAACTGTATTGTCAGCAGTGAACGTTAGTATATCTCACAGTTTCTACTGCACACTAAGGGAACCCATGTTGGAATTCAATTATAAAAATAATCAAGTGGATTTTATGTCGAATTATGGGGAATTAAGTATCGGAAATTTTGTATATATCACGCCGGTAATCCTAATTATAACGAGAAGCAACGGATTCCAGTACTTCACTTGTTACAGAGAACAGTATACTACGTTCAAAATTTACATTACCCCATTTCAACCCGAACTATGGATTACATTAATTTTCACGGTTTCTTTTCTGGTAGTTGTAATTTCGGTTTATAAACACTATGCCGGTATTTCCTTTTCTTGTTGGCTTCTAGTTGTTGCAACGATATTTGAAGAAGCGGGACATGTTCCCGATAAAATGGAGAAAAAAACTTATTTCCGCTTATCCTTCGGGGCTTGGTGTTTAATGTCCGTAATCCTGACAAACTGCTACAACGGCTTAATGATTTCTGAACTTAACGCTCCGCTTCCTTCTTGGGAACCTAAGACTTTTCAGAATCTAATATGCAGTAAAATGTCTATGAATACGACCGATAAAATGCTAGACCCCGCTTGGATACAAGGTGTTAATCTTTCTGAACCTACCTCCAGCGCAATAGATCGAGTTGCGTCGTATATTTTTCTAATATTACCGTATAACTCATATTCCCAAAAACAAAGTAATCCTTACATAACCAAAAATTGTTTTCAGCTCTATTCATACCCGATCAATGTATATAGAGATATTTTTGATGCGTTTCCTGAATTTGTGGGGTTTCTTCTTCGTGTGTTACATTTCGATCATAGAGTTGATTGGGTTAAGAGTACTTATTTTAGAAATCTTTACAACCTAGTTGTTAATCTGATACAACCGACCCATTCTCATTATACGGACAACTTTAATTTCACGGCGTTCGCAAATAATCTTACCGAACTTCAACTTGTGACTGAAAAGGAGATTATAAAATGTGGTAAAAGCGTTTTGATAGCCCTTTCGGACGATATAGAAGCGGACTACGAATTTCACAAGAAGAGTTACCCTAGGCGTAGATTTTATAAAGGAAAAAAAAATATGCCGACGTTCTTTTCCGGGGAGGCAATTCGTAGTGAGGGACCCTCGAAATTGCCGGTTTACTATAAAGCTCTGGTGGAGACAGGTCTTCGCGGAAGGGTTGAGGATGAAGTGGTCGCTCGAAAATATGTACGCCGGAAGCCGGTGGGTACAGAAGAAGTAAAAGTGATAGATGAATATGAGCCGCTAGGGTTGAGTGGAGCATTTTCGACATTTTTCGTCCTATGGGGTGTTGCAGTGTTGATAAGTTTTCCGGTGTTTATGGCTGAAATAAGGGAAGGTATTTTGATCGGGATCAAATGTATTTTTTACAGTATATATTTTAAGTTTCAAAAGATTCGTAGAAAATTGAAATGCAATAGGTAAAATCAAGTCAGTCGAAGTTTTTAATATGACCGGTTTGGTTATTGAGGTGATTTGCGATACAAACACATATTTCTTGTCGTCAATTATAAAAAAAAACATAGACAAATGTACAAGTTTATGAGCAGCGAAGTTAATTTTTATTTGGCTTATAAGTAATTTACGTAATTAAGAGAACCTTTACACGAAAACCATTGTAGGTTTACATATTCGTTAAATTGTACACACGGGGATTATGACGACGGTACAGTTAACTAACAAGAATAATAAGGTATTAGCAATTGTACATAAATAATGTTTAAGGAAAAGTATATCGATCATTTTACCTATTATAGTAAACAATATATGTTTCTCTTTCTTGTTCATTATTTATTGTTTGCAGGTCATAACGTTTGCTTATGTAAAAATGGCGATAATCTAATTAACACATACACCTACCGAAGTATCCGAATATAATTTGAAATTATTATACTTAATTTATATTTACCGTCTAATAAAGCAGTTGACGCATTTTTCAGAAATCTTTATCTTCCAACCCTTAGTCATAGCGTTCATGAATGAAA